CACGACCGTAATAACATTCCGTCGTCGAATTAAGAGCGTTATCGCAGTCACGCGGCGGTGAGATTACAAGAAGACAAAAAGAAACATAAGAGACGAATGTGCGCACGTGTGTGTGTCAATGCGGATTGCGCGATCGTTATTTTTCTACGTCTACATCCGCGACTTGGAAGGTTGGCAGAGCGGCGGAAAGAGACGTGAAGAGAGAGAGAGAGAGAGAGAGAGAGAGAGAGAGAGAGAGAGAGAGAGAGAGAGAGAGAGAGAGAGAGAGAGTAGAGTAGAGAAAGCGAGAGAGCGAGAGAAAGGGAGAGAAAGAGGAAAAATGTATGAGAAAGAAAGAGAGAAGGACGCGCGCGCGCGCGCGGACCGAGAGGGACAACGACGACATGAGGAAGTGGCGAGCTGTTGTTGTCGGCTCATCCAGAGGCGGCGACAGGAAGTCGACGCGTGTGGGAGGGTGACGATGACGATGACAACGACGACGACGACAACCTCTGAGGGGCGGGACGGAGGGAGAGACCGCGTTCTCGCTGGTCGAGAACGCGAACAATGAGTCTGGTTAACTCGGCTCGGCGGCAAGGGTCAAAGAAGAAGAACGACCGAGGACGACGATAACGAGAACAATGAATGTGTTCAGCGGACGCATCGATGCTAGTTCAAGGCAAAGTTCGAGGCGATTGAACGCTTGATTGGCAACAAACCCGACCGACACCCGGAGGAATTGGTGCGGCGCGGTGGCAAAAAATGTAACGCAAGCGATCCATCTCATCGGATAGAGCGAGAATGATGGATAGATGGATAGATAGGATAGATAGACAGTATAGATAGGCAGAAAAGAAGGGAGGGAGAGGGAGAGAAGTTTCGCGCGCCTTCTCGAGACTTGAGCTCTTCAATTGGCAAGACGCCCGTCTCTGAAATTGTCCTCTTTCGCCGAGCGACACGCATAAACGTTTCGCTTCACGGGATTATTCACGTTGCTTTCGCTCTCTGTGCGTCGTCTCGGCTGCGGGTGCGAGAAAGTATTTTTTATATCGCGCACCTCCGCAAAAATAGCTCTCCGACGGAATAGCTGTACATATATGCGTTTGCACGCAGCAGCTTCTCGCTCGTACGTTCGTTTGTCCGTTCGTTTACTCGATCGTTCGGGGCAAAATTTCGTCTCGCGTTTCTCGCAGACGATGTCGAGGTCTCGCACGGCTCACTCTCGCTCGACGTTGTCCCTCGCGGAGCCGCCGAGTCGCGGTGCCGAAAGCGCGACTGATGATGACGACGATGACGAAGACGCGCGCAGAAGGAGTCGAAGACGACCTGGGGATATAATCGTCGATCGTTCTTATATATCGAAATACATACCACGTATTATCCGATGGTCCGTCCGGCTCACTGTCCCGTACCTCTGAGACCCCCTCCCCGCCCCCCCTGCTCTTTGGAGTTTGGACTCCTCTCCCGTGTTGTAACGCGTGCAGATAATTCGGCAATAATCAAATCCATCCTCCTGTACGCGTGATCAATAATGTATACACACATATATTTTCGATACTCACGCTCGTCGGGCGATCGTCAAGCGGGTCGATCGCGTAATCGCGCGGGAGCGACGAAGAGAGCGACGACGAGGGCGGCGCACGGGCTGCGTGACTCGAGGCAGTCGCGCACGCGCGCGCGAGTACGCGCCGACGTTATTTCGCATTTCATATTCGACGAGACGTCTTTCATATCGATGAACAATAGATCGACGCAACGACAATTAGGCGTGCCGCGCGCGCGCGCGCGCGCGCAAAGTTCGCGCGGAGTTTCGCGCGATAGCAGCTGTCCTTCGATCGGCTCGCGCGGGCACCCGCTGCGATCCCGCTCTCGTGTACCCGTGTGAATTCGACCGCCGATGGGCTTTTATAAACGGGACGGCTGGTCGACGGCTCCGGAAACGCCTCCTTGACGACTTGCACCGCGAGTGCATCGTTCTTCCCCGCGGGGGCGAGCCGGGGACGGAGTGACGCGCCGCTAAAGGCGAGCCTCGCGCGGCTCGCCTCTTGTACGCGCGAGATCATCTCGAGAATGAGTCATCCGGAGCGGAGGATGGAGAGGAAAAAAAATGAATCATCGCCACGTTCGACGGCGAGACGGGACGGGCAAGCGATCTCTTCTATTTTTGCGCACTTTGCTTCACCATCCGCGGTGAACCGTCGCGGCGCGCGTAAGGGGATGAGATTCACGTCACGCGACTCCCGCTCAAACTACCGGCTAAGATTCTCGTTCTCGTGGGCGTTCAATTCACGTAATAATTACAGCCCGCGCGATAAAGCTCCAACTAAACACTCTAGATGGCTGCGTCGTGGTCCGCGTGTGGAGCGCTCCCGAGCGCTTTGGATTCTCGAAGGATTCCTCCGAGACGTAATTCGCCGGAGACGCGATAAATCGAGGGAAATCTCGGAAAGCTCGCGTTCACATCTCGGTGGGCTTTCGTTCGAGATGATCGTTAATATGAACTGTAATACCGAGAGCGAGTGACCGCCTTGAAGAGCCCGCGTCCCGGCGCTACACGTCGATTCGTCGCCGGATGGAACGTTACGACGCCCCGCGCGTTCATCGACGACTTCCCCGCCCCCCCCCCTCCAGCCCTCCCAGCGATTTGATCGCGACGTGTTCATCCAGGCGCCGATTAACATTTCGTCCGTCCTCAAGCGTTACGCGTCGTCTCGCGAGGATTGCCCGAGGAGCACGCTAAAATCGCGGGTAAAATCGCGGGAGGAAAGTGTTTTTACACGAGTCGAAAAACGCGTCCGTATGATCGACACGTTGCAACGACGAGGGTGGTTAAGAGGACGACGACGATGAGGACGACGACGACAACGACGACGACGATGACGACGATGACGACATGGACAACGACAAGGACAAAGTCACGAAGGGGGAGGGGGATGGAAGAGTGTGCGCGGTGTGCTTCGTTGATTTTCATTAGTTTTTTCCAAAATGTACATTAAAATTACTAGCTTTTTGCGCGACGACGGCTGTAAGATATATAACAAGAAAAAAATAATAGGGCTTTCCTTCGTTAAGCGAGGTAAGACGAGATTTAACGTACTTTCTCGGAGGACGATACTGCCGTTATATAAAAATGCATTATATAAAAGAGAACTAAGTTAACTAATCGTAAATGCACGGAAATTTTCTTAAACGGATAGCAACCAAAAAAAAGGCTTTGTAGTGTCTCGATACTCTCGAATCATTAATTCTACGTCGTCAGATAATAAATAATGATATTAATGAAATAAAAAAAAAATGAAGATAAATATGAAACAAAAATTCTAGAGTTGGGCTAAAGCATCGTAAAGCTACCGGAGCCTGTCGGCCAGTAAAAATGAACAAGCAACTGCCATGGGTGAAGCTAAGTAGACAACGTGCTAAGAATCCAATTATAACGAGCTAGTTGTCGAAATTCCAAAAAAATAAAACGCGCGAAGGATTGTCCATTTAAACAAAAAAAATTCTGCGTACGTGTGTGTGTATGTGTGTGTGTGTGCGAGCTCGCGCGCGCTCGCGCGTGTTCGTGCGGACACGCGGATTCGGTGCTTGTGACACGTACGTGTCCACACACACACATACGCGTGTGTGTAGGCTGTGTGTGTGGTGGATGCGCTCGCGCGCAGGCCGAGAGACACGTGAGGAAACATGAGGATACACAGAGAGAAGCTCCTCCGTTGAATATGACATTCATTACTACTTAACAAAATAAAATAATAAAAGAAAACTATGAGTTATTTGCACAATATATTATAAATAATTACTATATATGTTTACTACGATTATTAAATTAAAGAGCAAATAATAAGAGGATACAAAAAAACTGTTGTTAAATAATTAATACAAAAAAACGAGGGAGAGACGAATGAAAAAGAAAAAAAAAGTAATAACACGATTTACGCTAATGATCGATATTCGGATCAAAACGGAAAGCGACAAAGACGAGAAAACGATGGGGGCGAAGATACGATAAAGATGAAGCAGCAGCGGATGATGAAGAGGAATAAGAAGAACAGAAAGAGAGAGAGAGAGAGAGAGAGAGAGAGAGGGAGAGAAAGAGAGAGAGAGAGAGAGCGAGAGAGAGAGCGGGAGCGAGAGCGAGAGCGAGAGAGAGAGAAAGAGTAAAAGGAGGAGGATACGATTCGTTTGTTATCGATTAGTTAACGATCCTTACATTACATTATTGTAATTATATAAAGTAAACAATTATTATCATAATAGTTACAATTAACAAGTTGTTACCGCTTTGTTATACATAATATAATTAATAATAAGATTAAAAAGTAAGCGAATGCATCGTTGATTCGTCCTTTACTTATGTAGATACTAAATACGATCGACTAAATTGTTTTCAATGTCTTCACCGTATCTCTTCGTTTGCTACCCGAATTTCATTTCGTTGTCGAAGATTCGGTATTGTCGGCTTACCTCGCCCGGCCACAATATACACACGTTTTACAGAGATATTTTCAATAAACGAAAAAGCTTAACACTCACGCCTGTTGTACATGTTCACTCTTTATCATCCCTTGTTGACTCGTTATCACCCACTCACCTCCACCGAGTACGCGAAACAACGCTGTCGAGCGTCAATTAAGATAAGTCGTGTATTACATATTATCGCAATTAAAAGACCCGATTTTGTAGCAGCCAAGCCGCGAAAACGCTTGAAAGTCTCGAAGCCAGGGGCGCCGGTCGGCTTCGTCGCGTTCCTGGCTTATCGAGGTTCAAGCTATAGCGAGTGGAAGGGGTAAGATACGGTAACGCTAAGTATATCTACCTGCCCACGAGGTACCATTACAGCAGTCGATTTTGTGCGCCAGTACGAGAGAGCACGTGGTAGCGTGTGGGTGCCTTTTGCGCCAAGTCGTACTGGGAGCGAGCGAGAGAACGAACGAGACGTGCAACGAAGGAAAGAAACGAGAGGGGGGAGAGAGGGGAGAGAGAGAGAGAGAGGGAGAGAGAGAGAGAGAGAGAGAGAGAGAGAGCGCGCGAGAGAGAGAGGGAAAGAGGAGAAGGCATGGGTGGGGTTCTCGAGGACGAATCGTTTCGCTTTTCTTGCAGGAACGTCTGCAGCAAGTCGTAGTGTAACGAAGGCAACACGCGCGACGTCTCCGAGTGGTAATGGCCGTGCGTGCCGTTTTCGCGCGTCGAATATCTAGTTCATGCGGCCCTGCCTAAGAAAGAGAGAGATGGACGTTTCGAGGTCACTCGGGCCTCCTCGCGGGCTTTGAGAGAGCTGCCGAATCAGTGAAACTGGAGCAGCGAGAGGCTTCGGGGTCGCGCGCGGATTCAGGCGGATTCGTCCGTTGCACGTATATATCGACGTTGTTCCACGAAGCCACAAGCTGTCAAGATCCTCTCGTGTCTGACGTCGGCGAGAGCGCCGAAGGACGACGAGAGAGTACACAAGGTGGTGGTCGCGATTGCGTCTTATCATGCTTATCGACTGGCCGCAGCACGACGACGACGACGGCGACGACGACGGGGACGGCGACAACGACAACGACGAGCACTGACCTGGCTGAACCTCGCGCCGTGCTCTCACAGCAGCTGCAGCCTTGTCGAGGCTCAATGATCGTGAGTCTGGTGTTCCGTGACTCATTATTCGCAGTTCGGCAGCGGCTCGCCGCGGAGGAGGCGATCGTCTCGCGTGGATTTCGACATCGTTGCCGCGCAAGCGGACGAGGTTAGTGCGATGTCTAGTCGTGTATTTATAAATCGAGACGAACATATTGAGGTGTGGAGTGTTCTATCGGGAGATTCCAATGTGCCTTTTCCTCCACCGAGAGCGAGCGATTTTTTCGACATGCGCGACGAGCGTGTGAGCAAGGTCTTTTGTCTCCCGATAACGTACCACGGGACGATTTTGGGAGAAACGCTTGATAGAGTGATGATGGGATCAGAGGTGGGATTGAAAATAATCTGTGCGCCAAATATAGCCAATTAGAAAACAATACTGGGGAGCACTGAACGCGTTATTAATTTTGCAAATATATTCAGCGAATATATTTGCAAAATTAATCGTTCATTACACCTGTCTGAAGCTAGCGAGACCAAGTCGGAAAGATCAAACCGTACCTATTGGATTGTTTAGTACCTGTTTTGTACCAATTTATACCATTCATACTATTAATTTAAATTTTGTATCCTGCGCTGTTTTGAAAAAAAAATAAAAACCGTGGTGTCATTAATTTCATATGAAGTTAACAGGACCACAACGAAAAAAATTAAAAACGAAAACAAAGATGAAGTTACGAAAAAAACAAAATTTGTATCATCAAGTAAAATTTAATATTTGCATTTAATTTTGTGGAGACAAACCCTTACTAAATTCAATTACATTAGACTTTAGAGCAAAGTATTCCTTATTAATAGAACCGATTACGATTCTGATTACAGAAAATGTGCGAGGTAATATTGAATGATATTAAAATCTATAATTATAGATTTTACAAATAAGTGCGGTTTGATTTTGCCGATTTGATCTTGCTAGTTTCAGAGAGGTATAACGAACGCGATACACTGAAGACGTTCTTGAACTTTCTCCAGGACATCTTGGACACATTCGGAATGATTTTGAGAATTAATACGTTTTGTGCCCGGGACACTTGATCCTAACATTGTTTGTTGCACATCACTTTGTTGCAAGTAAATGATAAGATAAACAAAGCGTCTTAAGTTAAAATAAAGATGCTGAAATACTTTGTTCACTTCCTTCCAGATACTTTATTTTTAAAGCGTACCAGTGATACCCATGATGGAGAAAAAGGGACTGCGGAAGAAAGATATGCTGAGGATGGACGGACTCCTGCCTCCGACGCGACGTTTACCAGTTTGCGACGCCGTGTCTGGCGCATCGGACAAGAAGAAGGACAAGAAGTGGTCTATAGGCGGAATTCTGCGACGGATATCCTCGATAAGGGACTACGACAGTTCGTCCAACGACGAAGAGATCGTCTACTGCAAGAGAACACCGAGGAAACCGACCAAGCTCAACAGGCAGACCGACGGTGTCGTTTTGCACTCGATAGAGAACAATCCGGAGCATGACGACAAGCGGACGAAGGCCGAGAATAACGTCCGTCACTCGGCGAGCTCTCCGCAGTCGCAGTTGCGCCGCGACTCGCTGCATTCTCGTAGCAGCGACGGCTCACTGGACGGTTTGGGCAAGAAGACGCGGAAGAACAAGCTGAAGGCGCGAGCTGAGGCGAAGAGGGACAACCTGTGCGCCGACAGCAGCTCCGACGAGGACTGTCGGCGGTCCAACGGCTCGCTCAACCGATTCCACGGCGCAGATGGCACGCACAACGGCCAGCGGAACAACATGTGCAACAGGAAGACGCGAGCCGCCCGTACGGAGCGTTACATCAAGCGTTTGTCGAGGGACGACGGCAACGGCAGCGGCGAAACATTAAACGACCCGCCGCACAAGAGAATTACCTCGGAATACCCGGCGGATGACGAGCAGCAACAACAACGCGCCGTTTACGCCGACGTGAACGGATCCTGCCGGCCACCTGTGCATCCACGTCGTGCGATTCCTGTTCCGAAATCCTCGAGCAATCGCGCGCATCCGTTGCTTCAGAGGTCCTCCGTGGAGAGCCTCTCGCGAATCGACGTGGGTCTGCCCGATCCTGAGGTCGGGTCCTTCAACGACTTCAGGAGATATTCCGCCGGCCAATACGTCACAGACATGAATCAGAATAACACTTATGGAAAGATCTCGTCAAGTGTCGGCGCGGACGCGTACGTGGACCGTTGTCAGGGTGGCAACTTCTTCACTTATCCCGTGAAGAATGTCGCTCACTGTACGGAGCCGTTCGACCGCGCTGTCGAGCGCCGATTGGTCATCAACCAAGACAATGAGCCACCTGAGCCGCCGCCGAGGGATCCACGTTACCGGGTGTTCGGTTACGGGTACAACTCTTGTCCGACCAACAGACACCAACAGAACGTGTCGAGTTGCTATGAGCGAGGTGACGGCAGGGCAACGTCGAACGTCGCCAACGGTTTGTCGAGATTGCCGGATTGGCGGAACTTTCGGTCGTACAGCCTGAACAACGAGGACGAAATGGTCCAACGGTACGACGCGAACGAGCTGGAGAATCCGATGATACCGAAGCCCCGGATGAAAGTCTGCAATTCGTTGGAGTATGTAAATAACAGGTACAACTCTAGCCAACACTGCGCGAACGAGTCCCTCCGCAAGGAGACCGAGCTGACGAAGTGCCGGCGTAGGAACATTCGCAACGATCACCTGAACGACGTGAATTTTAGCGCATGCGTCGCTACCAATAATACCTCGGTGAACATCTGCGAGTCGAGGAACCGCGAAATCTCTACTCCGAGATCATATTCCGTGCCCGTGGTGTCGACGACCGATTGGTCATCCAGGAGGTCTCCTTGCGACCGTGCAGCTTCACACGCCATCGTCCCGAAACGCGAGGCCGATAAGAACAACATCGAGAAGCGCAAGGAAGAAAACCGGCGAATGACACCAGCCGAAGAGCTGGAGAGACGCAGGAGCTCGAAAAATCTCGAGGAGGCTCTGTCCGAGCTGGAGGCGATCTACAACAGCCTCCGTCTCGGCGACGAGGACCTCCTGGACCGCGCTGAACGCCGAAGCATGGAGGAATTCAGCCTGAAACGAGGTAGAAGCGAACTGGACGCGGCGGCTGTGATTAGCCCAGACTCTCCAGACCGAACGAAGGACGACATGGCCTACCGCCGAATGCACCCCAAGGAGAGACCCACGTCGTTGTCGGACATCGCCGGGCAATCCGCCCTGTCGAACATCAGCTACCTCATGGCCTCGCCCGTGCTGTCGCGCAGAGACCCGGAGGACGATGATTTGAAGCGCGCGTCGCCGAACGTCAGCTACTCGACCGGTCGCCGCGACGAACCGGACGTCACCCGCGACGACATGGTCTTCCGCAGTATTAATCACGCGAACAATACTCTCAGAGTGATCGACCCGCAGCCGCCATTTGGGATCCCGCTGGGACCAGTGTCCGCGGCTACGGAGAGCGATTACCTGCACACGACGCCGACGAAATCGGAACAGCCGCGCTCGCCGTACATACCGCAGTGCGAGCCTGACGTGGTCACAGATGACTTGGCTTACAGGGCTCTGAGGAAGGACGCGGGCGCGGCGCGGAACGGCGCGGTAGAGAGCAAGGCCGATCCAGCGGCCGGAGTGAGGAAAAAGCGAGCCGTCGTTAGGTCGTTGTCGGCCAATCTGTACGGGCTGATCAATCACGACCGGATTCATCTGCGACGTGAGCCTAGCTTGGACGCTATCAAGGACGAGATTCAGGATGTTGCAAGGAGTTCGGCCGCGGCGTCGGAGCGAGCGGGATATCTCAGACGCGTGGTGAGCGACGGTGAACTGTCCGATAATGACGTGCACAGGCGGAGAGAGAGAAGTGTCGGCACCGATATTAACGGTAATCACCCAACGGCGGCCACGTACCGGAAGAAGCTATCTGACGTTTACGACATATCTCCGGAAATGACGACAACGACGACACGAGAAAGTCCCAGGAAGGAACCGAGCATCGCGGAGATATCCGATGTCATGCTGTCTCCCAAGGGCGCCTTGGGTGACGAGTTTTGGCACGAGTACCTGCGCCCGGATTCCAACACCTCTAACGCCAACAGCAACCACAGCACTGAAGCGGACTTTAGTGCGTACAGCCGCCTCTGCCAAGACCTGGTTAACCTGATTAAAGGCGACGATGAGTTGCCGAATACGGACCAAGCCGTCGCCACTGTTGCGCCGGCCGATAATAAATCGCGCGACATTAAGCGCGAGGTCGACGAACTCTCCACAGGTAGCCGCGCGCGGTCTTCCGCTGATCATTACTCCGGGTGTCAGCGTGCCGTGTGTACTCACGACAAGCGCAGCACAGTTGAGAACACGACGAGTTCAACCGCGGACTCGGCGGAGCCAACGTCAACTGGCAACCTTGATTTCTATCTTCGCGTGGCGGACGAGAACGTGAAGTTGATCGCAGCGGCTTTTGGCAGCGTGGCCGACCATATGCGTGACAGTCGTCGGTTCTCCATGCGCAAGAATTCGTTGACCTCGCGCGATGTTTCCGAAATTGAGAACCGCAGCGTTAGCACACGCAGCTCCACTGCTTACAGTCCGGATGACGCGTGCGACGTTCACCTTCAACCTGCCACCGTCGTCTCCCCGAGACTTGAGGAGGCCCGCGTACTTTCCAAACGCGATTCTTTCACCAGCAACGAAGGGGACCAAGGAATCAGCTCCGACTCAAACTTCGAACAGGACAACATTCTCACTGCCGACGTGGAGCTGGACCTGTCCAGAGCCGTCCGCGACCTGCAACTGGCCGCGGCCAGTCTATGCGAGCACGAACGAGAGATCGAGGATCTAGGAATAGCACGCGATAGGAAAATCGACACTAGTGTTCGCGATACAACATCGACAACTGTCTCCAACACGGACGAACACGAGGGTGATAGTCCTATTCGCAAAATCAACCTCATCATCGACGTTCTGAGGAAAGAGCAAGAACGTCATCAGAAAGAGGAGGAGGAGGAGCAGGAGGAGGAGGAGGAGGAGGAGGACAAGGAAGAGAAGGGTATTCACAACGTAACATCGGTGACTACCATCAGCGAGGACGAGAAGCAGGATAAGAGCCTTGTTCGTAAGATCAGTCTCATCGCCGACGACTTGAGGCAGGAGCGGGAACGCGACCAGGAAGAGGTGATGGTGCTGCCGAGCGGAGTCACGGAAACGCGACGCGGCGTGCGCAAGGAGAGCTGCGAAGGTGAGCGCACAGTGTGCGAGCATGATCGTAAATCGTCCCGCTATGTTGAGGACGCGCGGTCTTGTGTCACTAACATCATAACTTGTGCCACGATAACGACGTACTCTATGCTCCTGCTCGCTTGTCTCCTTGCATTGCTTTTAGCGATCGTAGCAGCGTCCTGATGGCCGATATGGGTTCTTTTATATAGTGCACGGACCACCAGGGATTGCAATGTTTGTACTGTTGTGTCGTTGTGTCGCGAGCATCAGTGATAGAGACGCGAGAGAGCACATCGTCCCATCGTTCTCATCGTCATTGTCATGAATCTGACTCGTCCCATGTGTGTGTTTTGTGTTCATGTGCAAATGTTACTAATGTCGCAGGTCTCCAGGCGCTCGCTCGCTCAGATTGACGATCGCACTGAAATGCTCGTTTGAACTACTGATGGTCGGCGAGAGTGATAGTGCGAGAGAGATAGAGATAGGGAAAAAGAAAGAAAAGTAGAGAGAGAGAGAGAGAGAGAGAGAGAGAGAGAGAGAGAGAGAGAGAGAGAGAGAGAGAGAGAGAAAAAGAGAAAGAGACATGAGACGAAAGCAAGTTGATAATTTGCAATAAGAAAGGAAAAAGCGAGACAGAGTGGGGAGTACGGCTTCCATTACGAGGCCGTATCGACGTTGTTGTTGTTGCTCTTGTTACTGTTGTTGGTTTTAATAAAGTTTAAATGTTAATCATGCCAGTACAAATATTACTGCGCGCACACGTGCCTCTCGCTGCAAAGTGATTCATTCCAAATCGCGTTATCCGATTCTGCACAGCCCATTATCTTTTTTTTCTTGTTATTTGATACATGATTAAGAACGGGATCAAGTACATATTGTATCATCGTGTTAGTACAGTCTGCAATATGTTTGACTCTACTGTGCACTTGGAAACATAATAGTCAAAACTTAATAGTCAAAACTTTGAGAAATATATTCGAGATTAGTGCGAATATTTTGATATATAATAATTGTGTTTATTATGTTAGTAAGTAAATATACTTGAAATATCACACAATCGAATATATTTCAGAAAATATCGATTATACATTTGGTATGTTGTGCATCAGTATTATTTGGCACTCGATTCTATATATATATATCTATATATATATTTGAATGTAGTAATTTTTTACAAGTATGTAAGATGAATCAATGATGTTCAAGTTGCAAAAGGTACTACGAATTTAATGAAGTGATCTGCAATTTTCTAATTGGCTGAGATTCGTATTGAACTTGATCTCATTCTTATACAGGATACCTCAGGTATCAGATAGAAAAGTTGCGTGTGAAAGAAACTTGTAAGTTTAAAATAAAGTTGCCTTATTATTGTCTCTTACGATGAAAAAAAAAAAAAACACTTTGAATTTCTTCTAACTCTATCTATAAGATGTAATATTCATTGTACTGTGTACAAGTATTTAATTTGATTAAGTTATATTCATTCACCCCTTCCTGAAGCAATAAAACAGATCGTGTTTTTCTGGAGTTTGAACATATATTATTCCTCATGCTACTTTGTCTGTTTACTTACTATTTGCCATAGAAACACATCAGTTGTAGCAAATGCAAATATTTTTGATTTACTTAAGTAACGTGAGTGGATAATGACAGAATTTTTAATTAATATCTAATCTCTCCTATGGAATGTAACAATACTTTCCAGATTTCACAAACTATTTTTGTTTTTATCTCAGCTCCAGGTACATTCTTTCTCTCATGTCCTGGAGAAATTGGCCGAGCTACGTTTGATTTCAACTTACAAATAAAACTTGACGAAAGAAAGCCACATCTGCAGTTTATGTTCTAACAATTCTAACAATCAACATTGAAACTCACCCACTTCTCCTTCGGGTCGAAAGCTCTCAGAACCTGTAACTCTGCAGTCATCATGAACCGTCCCGTCCGTAACAGGATATGCTTCAAAGGATTAATATTGTCTTTTCACAATAAAAACTCATTTTCGACACTCCCGATGATATTTTACGCGTGAAATTTATCTTCGGCACTCCCGACGATATTTTTCGCGCAAAACTCACTTTCGGCACTCCCGATGATATTTCGCGCACAAACAGTTTTCCTCAGGCGGAAGGGCAACCATTTGAGTTCAAATTATTGTAACGTTAATCGACACGACGAGTGCGCGGCATTTTGCTCGGCCTCTCCGACGAGTTATTTCGCGAGATATTCACTCGCGGCGATTATTTAGCGACGTTTCGTTACGACGACGGAAATTTATTCTCACGAAATTTACTCTCGATACTGCCGGCGACATAATTCGCGCGCGAGACTCACTTTCAACGTGAGCTAAATGCACGAGAAATACTGCGCAGCTTCCGAAACTCTCAGTGTGGTGGCGTCGTGAGCTGTCGCTTTGATGCGGACGATTGCGATTCTCGAAGCGTCGAATGTGCCAAACTTCGCTCAGTACTCCAACGGTTCATCTCACGAGACGATTCACTTTCAGCGACTTTCCTATGATCGTCCGTCGCGACATGAGCGCGAAACTCACTTTCAGCATTCCCGGCGACGATGATTTCCGAAATTCGCTTGAAAATACGAAGAGTAGCGACTCCCATATTCTGAACGAACGCAATGATTGCAACGTTCACTCGATGCTTGGAATTCCCGAGTCAGTTCGTTTCGCGAAACGTTCACTTTTGGCGGTTTATTACCGATGTCCCGTCGCGATGAGCGTGCGAAATTGATCTCCGGCAACTTCAACGATGATTCGCGATCGAAACTCTTTCGACAAGCCTGAAAAACGAGGGATAGCAAGCTACACTCCAAATGGCTACGAAACGGATATAATGGTTGTACGATGCTTCACTCAATATTCGCGATTGCCCGTATCATGAAGTGTTTCGGTTGCGACTTACGGATATTTCATCAGGATAACGCGAAATTTGTTTTCGACACTCCTGGCGATGAACCGTGTGTAGAAATTACCTTGGATGAGCCAAAAAGTCGGACGGTAATACGGACCAGGTTTTCGAATCTGCACGCCATATTTATCCGCTTCGTAAGTGAATGACGATCGCAGTGCTTACAACTGTCGATACGCCATCGGCGTTCCGATTAGTCGGCGAGCCGCCGACCAATCGGAACGCTCCATTTATCCCTTCTAACGCTCCACTTACTTCCTAATGCTTCATTTACTTACTAATCCGACATATAAATGCACTAGATCATTTTATTATCTGAGGTATTCAAACAAACGATAGATTGAAATTTGGCATATTTATAGAGTTCACTGTGACATAGAATGAGGATCGCAGCACAAAACCTAAACGGTAAAATTAAGCAGTAAACGAATCGACCAATCAGAGTCAAGAATTTCGACACAACCATAAGCAAACTGACCAATCATAATAGAGAACGTAGAAGTCACCGCTTACGTTTCATCTATGATTGGTTGATTTGTTGATTTATTCGCTACTTCGTCTTATTATTTCTTGCCGTTTACGTTATTACGTAAACGGCAAGAAATAATAAGACGAAGTAGCGAATAAATCAACATAGAATACTATGTACCATGCGGATGCTGCATGGAAAAACTTAAGCAATAAGACAGTAAGCAGTAAACAAATCACAGGTATAACGTAAACAGTTACCGTTTATGTTTTCGTCTTTTAGACCCTTAAAACCTAAGGGATCTGTACACTCGGTATCACGTGACCTATCGCGGCAGTTTCATACCGTTTTCCCAACGTTCGACACGGCTCGCGCTCGCTCCGTGTCGGTCGCATCTTTCTGCCAGTCGAAGGCGGAATTCGCGTACGACGAGCGTCGGGAGTGCCGTAACGAGTGACGGGCGATCGTTTTAGTGTGATGACCAACTTGCGGGAGTGCGATTGAACGCGCGATGTCTCTCGATATTCGGGGCCATTGTCCACGGCGTCCTCCCATCGTCAATATTGCAGTTGGCAGTTGGCGGGAAGAATACACTTCCCTCCATTTGACGAAAAGTACACATTTCGGCATCCGGAGCGCCTGTCATGTCTGCTCGTGGCCCGGTTTTTGGACCTCGTTTTTGGACGTCGAGTGGGATCCGCGGTGGGATCCTAGCGTTATATTTCTGATAACATTTCGTAACAGTAAAAGAACGACGTACGATTGATACACGGCGGCGCAGTCGGTAAAGCAGTGTCCCAGCTCGACGA